GTTCTACTATCTAAATCCATAATAGTGTTTTAGTAAATTATAACGATTTTATGATATTGTTGATTTATAAGCATTTTAGCGAATTCTAACAATTTTTTAGCAACCTATACTATAGAATATTATCATTCAAATTTATACGGATTTATATAGGGTCATATTAGTGTCATATCTCGGCCAGGCTAATTTTATATTTACATGCGGTTTGGCTGTAAGCGCTATGCATAAATCTCTCGTAATTAATAGGGATTAGTTAGAGGCATTGCAGTATAATATAAAAATTTGTATCACCCTGGCTCTCAGACAGTTCTCAGCACTTTCTTGCAACCTTCCCGCAACTCAAATTACGAGGATCTGCCAATCAGATTTTGCGTAATAACTAAGTCACCATTATTTTTCGATTAATTATTATATTAATCATTATGAAAATTAAAGCGCTGACTGTATACAAAGCTAATTTAATCTTACTCAGTCCCTACTTCACTCAGAGTAAGCTCCAACCATGCCCTATATAAGTAAGTCTTTTTACCTCTTCCTTCCTTATAAACTTAAAAATGTCTGCACATTAAAGCGAAGAACAAACCCGAATGCTTATTGATAAACGTAAAAAATGGGAACGAAGAATATCACCAAATCCCAAACTGTAATAAGAGAAACTTTTGGGAAGATATTGCGAATGAAATCAACTGAGCAAATAATACTAATTACTTCATAGGAGAAGATTGTAATAAGAAATTCTTAACTCTAACTCGAGCATACTATATAAGTAATAAGATAATCAAGCAGTTGGAGACATTTTGCTTATACTTAACCCGATTCTGATCTGATATTTTTGGTAAATATAGATGACCCTGGCCTATAAGAAAGCTAAGGTGGAAGCTGAGAGTCTCTTAAGAAACTAACTATCAACTAATGAGGGATCTGGGGCAGAAGGGGGAGTCCACCAACTACTGTAATAACTAAAAAGAAGAAGAGAAATCTTATTGGAGAAAAATATTATGAAGAGTTCTCTACGGAATTTTGGAAAGAACTTGGTATTTGTTTTTCTGATATTCGTGTTTACTTTGGTAAATCCAGGATATTCTCCCTAAAATATTTATTGTTTCTAGGATCACAACATTCTATAACGCTATTAACACTCTCAATACCTGATCTTCTCAAAACTGGGTCTGATACTTCTTCCTCTTTACATAAACAAACCAAATCATCAAGACCTGTAACACCTTCTACTGAGACTCCCGTAGTCTCTAGACCTATCACTCTAACACTCCCTTCTTTTTCACAAAGTGCGAATGTCATTAATGTTACCATCAATAATAATTATGGTAGAGCAACAGATAGGCGAGAGGAATAGGATGTTTTTTAATGTAGAATAGATGTATCAATAGCAAATTTAGACTAGCTATTATTTTTCATAATTGTAAATAATACTTAATTGTTTTATACCATCACTTTTATGAGTGGTAAATAGTATGTTAGAATATATGTATTGCGAAATTCCTTAAGATCCGATCAGTATATAATAAAACTTTGCAAAACACATTTAAAAATGAAAAGTATTTTTATTGTAATTGGCTGGCCAAGCCAAAAAAGCTAAATGCTTGAATGTTCAGACATAATGAGAGTTTGACATATAAGATTTGTTATCCTTCCATTCGTATCAAATTTATCTATTATATTCCTACTTATCAATTATAAGAAAAAAAAGATCACACAGACTAAAAATGATTACTGAAGGGAAGAACTAATGACATATCTACAAATTCATCTAGTATAGTTTTATATTAAATATAAAACCCATGCTAAGAGTTTCTATTAAAGGGAAGTATGACATATCATTGTATGTACAACATAAAGATATAAAGACATAAAAAGACATAAAAAGACATAATAAAACACTTGAGATGTTTCGCATATTCATGGCGTCCCAGGCTTTGATAATTTTAATTTTATAAAGTTGATATCATCTTCATTAAAAGTCGAGAACTGGTCTACAGAAAATGTACGAACAAATTGAATTCTAGATGGATCATCACTAAAAAGTTTACTATTTTTCTAGCCTTTTTAATTTTATCCTTTGCCACGGCTAGAGAAGTATCATCTGGTAAATATCTCTGAACCTCCATATTTAATATATGTTGTGCCCTCTTCTGCCTTTTTCCTATTAATTCATTGAGACGAAGGGTTAGTGCTAAGCCAAATTCGTAATAGCAATAGATGGCATTAGAATCGGCCTTACCGACTCTTCAAGATAATTTTCGTAGAATCACTGAGAGCTGATTCTGAGGGATTACTTCTGATGAATTGCTATCAATTTCCATCACTTCAGTTGACACTTCATATAAAAGCTAACAATCTTTCTTCTCTACTCATATTTTTCCAACTGAGTTGTTCAAGCTGTTTGATAACATTACTTCGGCACTCTGGACATCATTCTTTGCAGACTGAAGATGCATTGCAATAACTAATGTGAAAAGTATGACCACATTGGAATATTGCATGTGAGTTTATAATTTCCCTTTTACAAGCCAAACAAGGTTCAGCTCTCTGGGAGGGTTCAGAGAAAAGATCGGGGGCTACTCTATGACCCAAACTCATTAGAAGCAATGCGATTGATTCTCAGGACGCCATTAAGGCGAAAAAAGAGTTTATGTCAGTCTATTTATACTTCATGGTAAGGGTTGAATTGATAAGCCAGGCAAGAAAATAAGGTAAGTATACTGTATCATATGATAATTGTGAAGATTCTTCTCACTACCAACCAATAGAAGCAGGATCTATTTGCTAATTATGTGATAGGCGTAAAGTTTTTCTTTTTTATTTGTGATCGGTCCTTATTGCATCATCAAAAAAAAAATAAAGTTTCTCCTGTATCATATGATAATCGTGAAGACCCTTCATACTTGCAACCAATAGAAGCAGTTTAATAATTCAATGATGTCTAGTATATTCTGCAGAATTGCATGGCTTAATGATTTTTTTTATGATATAAATTGATGTGGTAAATGTCATATATCAAGAAATTTGCATGAACAGGTGTTTAATACATATTTGATGGTCAATAAAGTGAATGCTATAAACATTTTTATTTATTTTCCGATATAATTGCATGCATGCACCAGCTGTATATGTAAAAAAAATAAAGCTCGACTAATTTTTGTCTATTATATAACATTATTACATATAACTACGCCTGCGAACCATTTTTTCGCTCTTATTAATGATACTTATTTTGGTATTAATTAAAATAAACGACTATCTAGAAAAAAATGTACAATCCACAATTGAAAATAAGATATTTAATCTGGTGTCCTATTCATATTCAAAGTGTGACTATTTTCCATCGTAATTCGATGATGCTTTCCCAATGTATTACTTCGATACAATTCTTTCACTGACTTTTCAGTTTGTAGTAATTTTATTTGCATAGAATTATTGTATATTAAACAAACAATTCACAGGTTAATTGTAATAGTAAGATAAAAATAACATACATTAAGTTCCTTTAGTATACAATATATGTCTTCGAAAAGCCCACAATCATCTTCTTGGGACAGTAATATACAGTGGTCGAGTAGGCCAAATCTGTACAAACCTCCGAACCAGTTCATTGTGTAAAAGTTCAGTTCAAATTCTGTGTTGAATGAACTGTATTAATTAGTAAGTCAGATAAACGAGAACTACATATTAGGTTTATGTGAATATTAACGTACCCACTTGGAGCTATCCATAGACTACCAAATTTTTTCTTTGGTTGTTATCTATATGTCAGCACCCTTTCAATGCATTATTAAGAGAATCTCGCATCATAATACTAAGTTTCACTTTATCTAAATATCGTTTTTTACGGGATGAAGAAAAAATGCCTAGTGATATCATACTACCAGACACTTCGCCAAAAGAGCTTCGAATTTATTTAGAGTATTTTTTAGTGTTCCCTTCATGTCGACTTTTCGTCCTAAATGTGCTCTCTGGAAAGGATTCGAGTTTTCATTCCTTGCATTTTTCGTGCTATATACCTGAATTTCGCCCCTATATATAAAAAATATTTTAAATTTTTTCTATTATTCTGTTATGAGATAAATACACCATAACTTACCATGCATCTTTAACTACATTTAGTTGAAGAATAGAGCGAAAAATTGGGAAGATGGAAATCATTTTCAATTCTTCCTCGGTCATAGAGTCATTAAACGAATACATATTCTCTTTTCTTTATTATAGAAAGAAATAAAACATCCAGTCAAACAATTTTAGAGAATATTGCACAGACACTTATAATAAACCAATACTTACATGAATTGAATATTCGTATGAAGCTTCTTTATATCCTTTATTTGATGACTTTCTTCACAGTTCTTATTGAAATATTCTTGAAGATAATCCGGTGCCGACTTTAGATTCCAAGAAATAGTATTCGAAAAGTCTTGCAATAATTCTTGAATATCTCTCTCTGAAAATTCCTTGCATCCACTCAGACTCTCTCGAGTTAGATCTAATATACCCCAATATGCTAGTCTAATAGACGATAAATAAGGTATAAGTACAAAGGCCAGATCGTTATTATATGTTAAATCAGTGAAAACTTACGTAGTAACTTGACGGCACTTTGGGATACTTTTTTGATATTTTTTAAACATGGTTAATAAGTCGCCACCACTTGACAGTTTGTATTCAGATATATTTTCAGATGGTTTTAAGATCGGTAACCTCGTTTTATTTATTAACTTGCTTTCATCAATGCTTTCTATGAGGGAGTCTTCGTTTTTTTCATCAAACAATATACTGCTACATTCTTCCTTTACCTTACAATCTTTCCTTTTCTTTGATATTTTGTCCTGAATGTATACAAAAAATGAATTCATAAAAAAAAATGTAGTTAGATATATTGAATTATTGATTAAAAGTGAATGTCCACTTTTTTTAAAGAGAAACTCATATCCGCACCTTTTCATCACCGCTTTGGTTGCCTAATTCATCCTGTTCTTCCTGGAGAAATCTTCCTTCCTCTTGATCATTTGCATTTCGTGTGAGTCCATCATTCGAATTACGCCTTTTTCTTGTCAGTGTTTGAACATGAGGCTCATTTCCAAAAATTTTCAGCTGTCTGGTAAGTGTAGTCCGTATAGCTTGATCTCAAACGAGTGCTATTCTTATAACCTCATTATGTTGCTTGGTCTATCAAAAAATAAAGAAAAAAAGTAAAATACTGTACATGTATTTTTGTATATTTCATTACAACAAATAGATCTAGATTACCATTAGAATATCACGTTCGAGAATCAGTTCTTGCTTCCTGTTATTTTTCTTTAAATCTTTGATCCATTCCTAGGCAATAGATTAAAAATTAGATGCATTATGTCAGAATTATTTGAGGGAGAATGTCGAACCAAGAGTTCATCACCGATTGACTAAGAGTATATGGCTTTGCAGGAACCAAGAGTTCATAACCAAACAACCAAGAGTTGTTCAGCTTCTGCCAAAGTTAGAGTAGGTACAAACCAAGAGTTCATCACCGATCGACCAAGAGTGTATGGCTTGACCATATTTTAACCTCCTCCCTTTTTACTTTTTTTTTTCTCGTAAACATACCTTCCAGTTGACGATTATAGCCTCTGCCTTTTCTTTACATATTGCATCAGAGCCATCTTTTAAAATTCGTTTGAGATCTTTATTAATCGAATCGAGTGCTTGCTTGAGTATAAGCTATGAATTATTTCCTTTGTAATGATTTAAGATATTCTCGCATATCCATTCACTGACTTTTTTTTCAAAAAAATCCATATTACATTAAAGAAAAGGAGAATTCTACAATCATGGAATTTATAATTGACGGTCACATGATAGCCAGAAATACGACGCGTCAACTGGCATGTGATGTGAGAGATACAACTGCGGATATGCAAAGCAGAGATCACGTCTACACATTGACGTCTTCCTTCCTGCGTATAATATATAAACCACACACGTGATTCGAAAAGAAATGATACTCCAGAACTATGCGAATATTCTTCTAGGCGGTTACTGGAGAGATAATAGGGCTCATCATTGGTGAGATTTTTCTTTCATATCTTCCGTCATGATAGTAATAACCTCTATCACATTTACTATATTCATTATATCCACCGTATCTATTATATCCATCATCATCCGAATCATCTGGCATCGTTTGCTTTAAGCAAATATAACTGTCGCGATTACAGTCACTATCATCATCTGTCTTAACTGATTGTGAAACAACTTCTTCATTCGTTTCTTTCATCAGTGCAGAATCAAAATACACACAATCATTTGCACAATCTTCCAAGAGTATTTTGTAGTAATCGTCCTCAGCTTCGAGCGAATTGCTTGGGCTAACTTCTTTAGAATCATCAGAAGAATTAGAGTTATAGATTAAAGGGATAAGTGCTGTTGATTCACTTACCTCCGCTGAAACTAAGGGATTTGCTCGAACCTCTGACGTATCAGTTTGACTAGAAGAATTATCATTAATAAAATTGTCCTGATCCTCACTGAAATCTGTACTGGGCTTATTTGAGAAATGATCCATAATCTTTTGGATTTCATCATTAGTAAACTTTAATATTTCATTCGCATTATATGACTTGATATACTGGATTTTATCCCATCCTATTTTTTCGAGAAGCTTGTAGATCTTCTCAGCTCTCTGAGTTTTTTTGCGCAAACCATCTCTTGTTATGTCTGGGAGTGGCACCCCTGTATTTTGAGATCTTTTCTTACGAAGGATATTAACTTACTTCACGACTTCATCGTATATTAGACCTCTTGCCTTCTTTTCACTAATTTTATTATTATCACACAAGGCCTCTAACTGAAATACGAAATTTCTTCTATAGTGATACCAGCATAATATTTCTTCTTGATTTACTTCCAATCTGTGCTCTTCTGTAATAAGCGCTTTATCACATAATTGGGCCAAATGTTGAGATATCTCTATCATAGTAGTCTCATGAAATGAAGATACTAATACATCTGAATTATCAGGTTTCTGAAACTACGCAGTCTCAGAAATTTTAGTCACATGATTTTCTTTGAATACAGATGAAAAAATTTCTTGAATCAATCCCTGCCCATTTTTTTCATTCTTCTTTTCCTTATTGCGTCGCTTTATTTCACTACTAATGATTTTCTTATGAGCCTTAAGCAAGAAACTATCCATATCTTTCTCTTCCAACAGTTTGCCATTAAGGTGCTTCGCAGAGTTGGCAGGTACTATTGCCACTAGTTCTTGTTTATTATAGCAAACCTCTTCAGGAAAGGAATTATCTGTTTCCACATCCACCAATGGTTTCTCATGATACTTTGTAACTGAATTAAAGTTAGATGTACTATTGTCAGAAGGATTATCATTATACGTCTGCTCTTCCACTGGTAAGGAAGCCTATTCTAATATCGCAAGTCTGGTCTCAAGCTCCTTATTTTTTTGTCCCAGTTCCTCAACTCTAACATCTCGTTTAGTATTTTCCTTCATAATCCACTTTAAAAGTTCAGCTTTTTTGGCCTCAAGCTCGATATTCTTAGTCTCAAGTTCAACGATACGCTGTTTTAATACTTCAAACTCAGATATCATTATTGATAAATTTTATATAAGAAGTGAAATATTCAAAAGTTAGTTAGTATATATACATAGAGACTGTGACATTTTACCAAGAGAAATAGGTTATAAAGTCACCAGATTTTTAGAACCGCGCGGTCTCAGAAAAATGCCAAGAAAAAAAAACATTTTATTAATACATATGAAAATAAATACAAATGTTTGGGATGTAACTGTGATACATATTATTTTTTGATAAATTTTTTGATCCTAACCTTCTTACTAGTCGGGGAACTATCTACACTAACCTGATTCTTCAACAATCCTACAATTATACCGATTACCCTTTTCACGTTACTTTGAAGTAATTCAGGATTATCTTTAACTGCGGACTTTGTAAGATTAATCTGATATTCGCTACCACTTGTGGAGAAGATGCCATCTGGAGTATATATGATAAAATGCCACTCTGTACCTGTGGTCACAATACCATAGATATAGTCAAAATAGTCATTCCCAAATGCTTGATCCAAAGTTCGTTTCTTTTTATTGGTCTAGAATGCACTTTCAAGTTGCGCCAGATTCTGAAGAAAAAATAAAATACTATTAATACTATTGAATCTTCTATAAAGCATGAACGGATAGTAAATTTACCTGCGCATATCTGATTTTAATATTACGAGGCTTTCCTTCAGTAATACATAGGAGGTCTTCTAGACTTTTAATTGTGTAATCTACTCTGCCTGTTGCATCCTCACCGGATATATCTTTCTGTAAAACCATAAATATATCTTGGAAGATAAGTTTTTTAGCTATAGCGATAGATGCATGAAGAATCGATGAAATAAATTCACAGTACGTCGCCTCATTAGCATTGGTCATAATTTTCACATTTGAAAGTTTTAATATAATGTCTTTCATACAGTGTTCAAATGCCTTATCATCATCACTAATCTCCTCGAAGACTACAGGCAAAGAAAAATAAGTTAATATATGCAATACTCCAATCTGAAAAATTAAGAGAGTAATCACATACTAGGAGTAAACTGCTTGATGTTTGTTATATCCTCCCCATTAACCTTATTTTTACGTAAAATTTCCTTCAGGTCATTGAGAGTTTTAAGCGAAGAATAGTTTCTTATTTTTTGGCCAAGACTTTCAATGAATTCTGCGAGAACTGTTGCTAGACCTAACGCGAAGTCAATACTGCAAAAGTTCTCTTTAGTTAACTTGAAAAAGGCTAGACCAGAAATTTTCTCTTTACGAAGAATTTTAATATCATCTTTATCAAGTTTTAAGTTTTTCCTTCCCAAATAATTGATAAGCTCCTCTGTATTAAAATTCTTAACCACATCTGATATTGTTCTAGTAGAAATTTCTTCCGTTATTGAGGTAGGTGAAGTGGGTGAAGAAGCTTGTAAAGACATGGTTTTTATATATGTGAGTTTGTGCTTGCGAAAAAATATGCATTTGACTGCTGTTACAAGTAAAGCTAGTTTATGGATATAAAAGTATTTTTAGTTTCCAGTGTAAGTGCTCGGGTGGAAAATGATAGATTTTTTATATCAATTCATAATGCATTTACCCAATATATATGCAATTAAGATGTAATACAGGATTGTTAGGCGATTATATTATATCATTACACATGACATTTATTAAAGATTTACAACAAGAACATAATACATACTTTATTTAAATAAAAAAACACTACTGGAGCATCTAATATATAAAAAATTGTGAATATATCGCTACATGATATGCATGAAAGAATTCTAACTATTGAAGGTATATGAGGATGAGACCCTCTTCAATTTGATTGATATTAAAATGCTTAGAATCATATCATTTTGTTCTAACACTTTTGCCAGCTCTTTTGGGTTATTCACGTAGAGCTTAATCTCATTAGGGACCTGCTTATAAAGTGTTGCCATTCCTTTTTTAATAGTAGGTATGACGTCTTTGACCAATGTTTGCCAGGCTATTTTGATTATGAAGATTTCATCATCCGATTTATCATGGACTTTAAACCTGAAGTCAATAATATTGGCCATTTTTTTTTGTTTCCTAAATACAAGGCTCATAATGAGAAAAAACTTGCTCCTATACATACATAATTTAGGGCATATACATACCTTATTTTGTGTTATTTTACGAGAAAGTTTTTTGCGAAAAGTTGGCTGAACTTCTACATACTCCTACATGCTTTATATCTTGCTGGGAAAAAAGATAAGGAGGTATAAGGCGTGATTAGTGTTGTCGTCTGATGCCAAGAGCTTCATGAAAGCACATACAAATAAAACTTTCATACCTTTTTACATGGAGATCTATCAGAGAAACACATAGTTGGTCTTACGCTTAACAATCTCAAAATTGTGACTCCCCCAGCCTTTCATAATATATGCTTTTATCAGTACTATTTACTTATGGGGTAGGTCCTGTGTTGCATGTAGACCTTCTTCACATTTTTCTCACGTTTGTTTGAGAAAAAAATGGAGGTATTAGTTAGCGAGTATACTGTATATGCGAAATTAATATGTAAAAATGTCGCACAGACCTATTATGTGATCGGTCTATTTTTGTCGCACATGAGTACATGCATTGTAGTTCAGCAAAAAAATCTTCTGAACTAATAATCACTGCTCTGAATTACCTTCGCTCGGGTTAGTTATCCAATGTATACCTCTCAATAAGTATTGTATCCCATTCAGATTAGTAATATCAGACTGACTAATATAATCTTTAAACCCAGTTATAATACCAGTCACTGATTCTTTTTTTGCCTGAATAAGCATTTCTACCAATTCACGATAATAAATATTTTTTGCAATACATCTCATATTTTCTCATGTTAATCCACTATAGAAGTCACTTCTAAAATGACCTTTACAGAGTTTGATGATATCATTACTTTTCTTCGTCTTTAAACAGTAATCCACTATTGATTCTTCACCTTGAATAAACAATCTATATTAGAACTTCTTAATACCTTCTGGTCATATTTCCCATCAAAGTTTATGTGGATAATATGGCAATTCTATCAGACTCAAAATATGTGGAAGATAGAAAGCATCAGAATGTATAAATACATGGAATAATGATGATAGATTTCTTACATTGGGCAGACTATGTACAAATTGCTTAAGCGCTTTCTCTTTCCAATTCCTAACTGCCTTTATTCTCCAGTAGGTTTTGATTGTGCAAAAAAGGTTGTCCCAATATCTCCACTCATCGGGATTCCTTTCATTATCCCATTCATATCTCGATCTATATTCTTTGATAAATTCATCGTAGCCTTCTTTTATCTCAGTATCTATCTCGTCATCTGACATTTTGCTAGTAGATTGATTAAATATTTTCAATCAGAAAAATAGGTTAATCATTGCTTATTTCTGTTGCATAAGAGTACATGCATTGTGGCTCAGCAAAAAAAAATCTTTCGAACTAGTGATCACTACTCCAGATTAGTTAGATCGGTAGACTACCATCGGTTAGTATTCTATTTTTGGTGATCGTCTATTAGGTTGCCGGTATATCTAATCTAAAGCCTGTGCCATAAATAATGCTTATATATGTTATATCTTCAAACAAAAAAAATCTTCTGACCTGATGATTACTGCCTGGGTTGATGATCAGTATTCCAGATCAAATCACCCTCCATTCTTCTCAGTTCATCGTTAACATATTCATATATGAACTTAATATCT